CATTTTTACAGGACAAGGATGGTGGAGTATTGTTATTAATGCTAAAATGTCCTTTAAAGGCAATAAAGAGCTGTGAGGAGTGACGTTTTGTGTGTTTAAAAGGGGGAGAAAACAGAAAAGCTGACTTCTGTTGTTCCATTTTTAAGTCTCCACTGGCTGGTAGATGCCTACACTCCTCTTACATTCATCAGCCAATAATATATTTGATATAATGGATGGTGCCAAATTGGAGAGAAAAATGTGTCAAAGCCAAAAAAGGTAAATAAATAAATAAAAACAGCATGCGGTAGAAGACTGGTGTTAATTTCATTCCTTAATTATCCAGGCTTAATTAGCCTGGAGTGGGAGCATATGGCATTTATTTTAAGAGCTTCTGACCAAGTAATGCACCGCTCTTCATCTTGGAAAACCCTTCTTATGTAACAAGAATGTAAAGCATGCATTGCGGTCGAAACAAACAGTGGAAACAGAGTTTAATTTGAACACTAATCCCACCATGATACACAGGACAATTATTTAGGATGACATCATGGGAATAAAGTTTATTTTTAAGTAATAAAATTTATGGAATGAAAACAAAAAAAAAAAGAAATGTTTTGTGTATTTTATGTATTCAGGCATGTGCTTGTACTGTATGACGGGAACAAGGGATATAAATTTACTGCAGAAGGCTTCTAAATAAAATGGACTATACTTTCTAAGAGGTTTAAAGGATGAGCCAATGCTGAGTGTCCAAATAATACAACTTAGCAAAGAACCAATTTTGAATGACACGGGACCTGAGAGACGTCATCTGGGCCTTCAGCTGATCCATCATCAGTAGCAACAGGTCTTATGGAGTAAATACAAGTTTTAATTTTTGGCTCAAATCATCATCATTATGTACAGAGGATGTCAGGAGAGTGGTACCACAGTGAGTGTCTGCAGTAATGTGTAAAAGACAGTGGAGGCTCTGTCATGTTTGGCAATTTTGTCAAAATTGATGAATTATGAATACAGAAAAGTGCCATCAGATTTTGATCCACCATGCAGTACCATTTGGAAAACTGATCTGATTGGTAACCGCATCATTTTTCAGATTGACAATGACCCCAAACACACTGCTAATGTAGTAAAAGCCTACCTGGATAGAAAAACACACAGTGCAATACTATCAGTCATCGATTGGCCTCCCCAGAGCCCGGACCTCAACATTATTGAAGCAGTGTGGGATCATGTTAACAGAGAACAGAACAAAACATCCAAAGAAGAGCTTTGAATGTCCTTCAAGAAGCCTGGAGAAATATTCCTGAAGACTACTTAAAGACATGACAAGAAAGCTGTTCAGGCTGTGCTGAAGAATTAAGGTGGTCAAAGCAAATATTGACTTTCAAGCTCATTAGAAGTGTACAAACTCTGTTTTTGCCTTATATGCTGTATTTCTGACAGATTGCTGTGGTGGCTCAAAACTTCTTTTTTTTTTTTTGCAGCATTGTAATTAACAAAGCCATTCAGATAGAGCAGTACTGCTGAATGAAACTCAGTATGTTGGATGAAACTCAACCTTTAGTTAACCAGACAATGTCCTTGACTTCACGCACACTGAACCAGACTTCCTGCACACTTACTTATTACAAGTTAACGCTGTAGGTGAGACAACACATACCTACAACCGCTGCACAAATATTTCATGAAATTATTGTTCTTAAATGTTGCAAACATCTTTGTGGCTAAAACTTTGTGGGGGTTTTTTTTAAACTCTGAACAGAATCTTCTATTTAAGCTTTGGGTCTTAATCAAATTTGCTGTAATCTAGTCTTTAGCTCATAAAAATCCACCTCTCAGCAACATCTCTGAGCTTTGTTGAACAGCTGTTCAAATAATGCAAAAGACCCACAAGGACACAACTCAGATGTGAAAAGTGTAGAGTTATAAAGTTATGGGGTTTCTCAGAGGCTGATTCAATTCATTCTGATGTGATTTTATCTTCTAAAAAGGCAGCTTCATTGTTTAATTACTTTCGCGTTATGGTTGAAGTAGCACAGTCATGCCCTTGTTAACCCGACAGTGGGACTGTCGCCTCAGAACCGTCAAGTGGCCCAGTCAGGCAGAAGCTGGGACAGGGTGTACCAAAGCAGCACTGCCACACTGACAGTTACAGTGGACATTTGGCTTGTGTTTTGCTCGGGTTACTGTTGTGGATGAACTGATTCACTAACACCACCTGACCTAAAATCCCATCCCACGCCCCTGCTGATGCTGAGCCACAAGACACGGTCCTTTCATTTCCATATTTATGCTTTTCATCTGAGAAAAGGGAAAAAACAAGAAAAGAAAACTTGCACATGTCAAGGAACACATTCAGCAATAACTCTTGTATAAATATCTGGCATAAAGCAAGAAAGCCAAACAGATAAAGTCAGGCATTCAGTGGTCACGGCTGCCCCCTGTTGTTTAACTTCAGTAACAAGAATGCTCCTTCCTTGTTAAACTAACACACTCATAATAACAACTGGTGTACATTTATCTCAATAACAGAACAATTAACCCACATTAATCTGACACTACAGTTCGATGACCACTGACTGCTTATGGTTGTGATGACTGTTGCTGACTCCTGAGCTCGGCTAGCTGTCTCCTCATGTGGTAGATATCATCAGACATTTGCCTAAGGGAAAGTAGGCACAACTTAGTAGCCTTTAGTATTTAGAAGCAGGACATCAATCATCTCTGTTCTGGCATTTAGAGCTATTTGTAGCATGTCTACTGTCACATGTTTATAGTATTTCTACCTGTGGTTGGCTTGTGCCCTGCTCAGCTGGCAGCGTAGGCGCTTCATGATGGCTTCATAGCGCCTGTTCTGGATCTGAGGAAGGGGGAAAAGTGATGTTGTTGATGCTTTCTTTCAGACTGAAACATAACTCATGTCTTGATACAAATTCTATCTAGGTGATTTAGCTGTTTTATGAACAAATGTCAGCCTCATAAGATGTCCCTGGTTTCTGTTGGGTAAGTCTGCACACCTCTATGTCTTTCTTTATTTGGGCATGAATCTCAGACTCTTTTTGGAGCCGGTGTCTCTTCTCAGATATGGTCTTCATCTTCAGGGAGACCTCCTCTTTCAGAGCTTTAATCTCTCTCTGCACACATGAGCATATAATAGTTATGGATACTGAAGATCTCTGAAAAAGATCCCTATGATTAAAATGAAGAGACCACCTTTGCCATCTGCACTGTGTTTCCATTTGGATTGTTCAAATCTTCCTTCAGCTCCTCGTTTTGCTTTCTCAGCATCTGTACTAGTTCTTTCTTCTCCTTCAGCTCGTTATGGGCCTTTGTCTGGCTCACTGCATGCAAAACAGCTGCCCTGTGGCCTTCCATCTTACTTCGGTAAGCGTTGAACCCTGCAAGCGCCACTAGTGCAACCTCCTCCTCCTCACCTATCAGAATCTGGAGTTCTGTGTTTTCCTTGCTGATGGATACACAGCGATCATGAAGGAGTTTGGTCTGCTGCTCCAGCTGCTCCATCTCACTTTCCAGCACTAGGATTTCTCTCACTTTTGATCTCAGGTCCTTGTCTATGCCCTCGTTTTTCCTCTCAAGCTCTGACAGAGTTGCCTGGAAAATAAGGCAAACCAAAAAGTCCAATTAAGTCATAAAGAAAGCCACAAACTATGCAAATAAATGTTTACTTCACTTTCTAGACAATTTTCTCCCATTGTGTTTTTTAATTATATTTTGTGACTCTTTTTGATCATTTGACACCTCTTTGTGGTGGATTTGAGGCACATTTTGGTTAATTAGGTCTCTTTATGTAACATTTTATGACTTAGTTACTCTGACGGTTATATTTGCATCATTATACATATAGTATAGTTCTGGGACAAGACAACGGATTTTCCTGGCTCTTTGGGTGCACAGAACTGTGCTCAGTAGGCTGAGTGATGTGTCCATGGTAAAAAAAAAATCTATCTAATATGCCATCATTTTGTATTATGATAGCCACTTTATATGTTATACTATGTTATTACCATTGTACAAAGCAGGAATGGGCAATTAATTTTTCCGAAGGGCCACATAAGAAAGCGGGACTGTGGAGGAGCAGATCAAAAAGCTTGTAAAAAAGCTAAAATAAAAAATTGCTCATTTGGCCCCTTCAGAAAAATAATTGCCCAATGTGTTTTGCATTTAGTTAATCAGTGTTGTAGGGGAATAGGGTTAGAGATGAACCTGCAGGGTACTGAGTGTCCTCTGTTTCTCTTTCAGGGCCTCTTTCTGGGTATAGCCATGTTGACTCACATTCTCCACTGCCTTGGTTAACGAAAACCCAGGCGGTCCTGGAAATCATGAGAATCACTTTGTGAAAGTCTATAAAATAACTACCTGGCTGCCAATTTAGCCAAATTTTCATTTTCATTGGCAAAGTTTAAGCCCAGGGGTTATTTATTTCTTTAAAATGGACGCCACTGATCACGTAAAACAATAAAATATTAGGCCTTTAAAAGTAGCAAACACCAACTTCTTTACTTACTCTGAGCTAACATTAATTAGCTATGTAGCTTATGCTAGACTAACAAAGCTAACATCAGCTCTAATTATTTATTTGTTACAGTTTAAGTTATGTACAGTTGCTTAAACAATTAAGCAGACATATATTTACTTTCCTGTATTGCCAAAAACAAACAAAACATCTTACCATCTTCACTGACCCCAAAGTTTGGCATATTGACTTGCTAGCTTATAATTTTCTATACTGTTTATGTCTGATAGTTAGCAATGACAGCATGCCATTTTTATCCTTGGGTTTCAAGTAACCCTAGAAAAATGTGAAATCAACTAACTTAAAAAGATAAATAAACAAAGCTAATATGGTGTTAAGTTAATATGTTCATTTACAATATAAACGAAAGTATTTATTTAGTTTACTTTTTATTAATTTATTTGCAATTAGAAAAATGAGCAGCGGGATGTAACCTAACCATTGATACAATACGACTACGATTCCCACAGTTCACTTTTTCTCCACGTCAAACTATATCCGGTCTCTCTTACAGCCAGCAGCAGTCTCGCATGTAAACACAAAAATAAAACTAGCGAGCATTATTTTACTTCACTTGTCACCGCCTAAATTTAGTCAAATGCTTGTCAGGCGTTGCCTCAGACTGTGCTCTTTGTGTACCCGTGTAGTTTACAGCAGCGGAGTAAGAAGAGGAGGATGGAGGACACTTGTGGGACACGCCAGTGTGAAACATGCTAACAGGACAGACGTGCCACACTGGGGCAGAGTAATGTTTAAACGCTTCTTTCACAGTGATTTGGGGGAGCTGTACAAGAACGAGTCAGTTCAGGTGTATCTCGAGCAGCTCATGGAGGAGCACAGAGACCTGAGCAAGAAGCTACAGCATGCATACCTCAGTGAGTCAGACAGAAAGGGGCTCACAAAGAAGCACACTGAGTTGCTGCCTCTGGCAAGTGTGTTTAGGAGCATTGAACAAGCTCAGAAAGACCTCGAAGAGGTCAGTTCACTTCTAAAAGGTGAGTAGGATTTTTTTAAGCTTACTATATATACATGTAATGGCTTTATAAACACACCTCTCAAACCACAGAAAACCATCAAACGAGGTCTTCTAACTATTTAAATACCACATGTATTTGCTGCTTTGTGTGAGCACAGTTTTACTTTGCATTCTTAAATACAATAAATAAAATTATTTTCCTTACTCATGGCAGGTTTAGCTGGCACCAAAGATGAAGATGAAGATCTGACCCAGCTGCTAAAAGAGGAGGAAGCACAAATCTCCAGCAAGATTTTGGCTTTAAGAAGAGACGTAAGAACCCAAAAGACACAGCTAATTAATGCAGAAGTGTGTGACGGACCATTGTTTCTTCATGAGGTTTTCTCTTTACCGCAGCTAATCAAAGCTCTTATCCCCACTGATCCTCTTGACTCGAGTAATGTTCTGCTGGAGGTCGTATCAGGGCGGACAACAGGAGGTATGAAGGAAAGCAAAACTCTGAATTTGTTTTTATAAATTCAAAATACAATTCACAGTAAAATACTGCAAATAAGCGTTATTATGGAAAATAAGTGTTATACTTTCTCATGTGTGGTTTCAGGTGACATTTGTCAGCAGTTCACCAAAGAAATGTTTGACATGTACCAGGGTTTTGCATTTTACAAAAACTGGGACTTTGAGGTGTTGAACTACACACCTGCTGAGTATGGTAAGGTAATTTTTGTATTTCTGTATCATTCATAAATAGTTCCTGCTGTATCCCCCCCCGAGTGTCTTTGTTATTAGTTCCAACTCACTCATCATGGGATTGAATGACTATGTGTGGATTAGAGTAGAAATTTAAACTTGTGGTGATCAGTGGACATAAACCTCCTACCAAAACATTTACAGCTGCATGAACGGTGTCTCTCAGGTGGTCTGCACCATGCAGCAGCGAGAATAGCTGGAGAGAACGTGTACAGGCACCTGAAGCACGAAGGAGGAACCCACCGGGTTCAAAGGATCCCTGAGGTGGGGCTCTCCTCCAGGATGCAGCGAATCCACACAGGAACCGTGACTGTCATCATCCTGCCTCAGCCAGTTGAGGTACACTGCGTTTTTTTCTTTTTATGACTTCTCTTTGTTTACTGGAATGGTTAAACAGTACATCTCTGTTTTTATCTTTGGTGCTTGCAGTTTGAAGTCCACATCGATCCAAAGGATCTTCGAATCGACACGTTCAGATCTCGTGGTCCTGGGGGGCAAAGTGTTAACACAACAGACAGCGCAGTGCGCGTAGTTCATCTTCCGACAGGTAAACTGTACCACCATGCCGTTTTGCTTCCTCAAAGATTGTATAAAATATGTAGCCACTGTGATGTGCTCTTTCAAACCTCACTCACACACTATGGGAGGTGCTCTCTGTGGTAACCAATCATGGAAGCTCCTCCACCACCTCTGTCTAAGACAGACCAGTCACTTCGAGGAGGCAGTTGTCCCTTGACACCTTTGAAAGAGAATGATAACTGAGTGAGGTACACTATATTGCCTCACCAATCCAAATCATTGAATTCAGGTGTTCCAATCACTTCCATGACCACAGGTGTATAAAATCAAGCACCATCTAGACTGCTTCTACAAACGTGCAGTGGTGTAAATCACTGGACTCTAGAGCGGAAACGTGTTCTCTGGATTGACGAATCGATGGATGAGTCTGGCTTTGGCGGTTGCCTGGAGACCAGTACTTGCATTGTGCCAAGTGTAAAGTTTGGTGGAGGGGGGATTATGGTGTGGGTTTGGTTTTCAGGACCTGAGATCCAGTGAAAGGAAATCTTAATGCTTCAGCATACCAAGACATTTTGGATAACTCCATACTTCCAACTTTATGGAAAGAGTTTGGGATGGCCCCTTCCTGTTCCAACATACACGTGTGAAGGCAGACAAGCGAATGCTTTTGGCAATATAGTGTACATCACCTGACTGCCCTACTTGTATGGCCACATGATTTGAAGCTTCATTGTTTTGTGTGTTGCCATGTTAGTGTTTTTGGAACCCAAAGGGATCAAATTTTAATGTTGAGTGCCAAGTTGTCATCTAAAGTTTGCCTAATACATTTATGATCCATTTATGCATCACTTAACACATAAAGCAGATACAGCAGGTTTTTTCCTCTTTGCAGGAATAACTGCAGAGTGTCAGCAGACTCGATCTCAGCTGCAAAACAGAGAAACGGCCATGCGCATGTTGAGAGCCAGGCTCTACCAAGGCATGATGGGTAAAGAGACTGAACAGAGGAATACAGCACGAAAGCAGCAGGTGGGTGAAGCAGGAAAACATAACCTGTAACATTCACAGATTTTTGTTCTCTTTTCCAACTTTGTCATTGTTCCTCTGTGTCTAAAAACAGGTGGGCACACGCTCTCAGTCAGAGAGAATTCGTACCTACAACTTCAGTCAGGATCGTGTCACAGACCACCGCACCGGATATACAACGAGGGACATCAAGGTTAGGTTTGAAGCCAGTGTTATCTACTTCAGCTAAAGGGTAAAAATCAATGTTGTGTGTTTTTTCATGTCTGTTTTTAGGAGTTCATGAGAGGTGGGGAGGCTCTCGATGATCTGATCTCTGATATACTTGAACACACAGAGAAGGAGGCTCTTCTCGAGGCGGCGGAGAACAGCAGCAGTTTGAAACGAACAGAGTCTGGACCGTCTGCAGACTGAGAGCAGCTTATGGGAGATGTGCTTCCTGACATATCTGACTGCTCTGTGCCTGCAGAACACATGTTATTCTATTATTTGGGCAATTAATTGCAAATGATGCAATGTAAGACAAACCAAAAGTAACAGAGGTTTTTATTTTTGTAATAAAATGTAACTTGTGTGTTTTGTGCCTTTGCAGTTTTCTAAATAACACTAAAGATTAAGGAGGGAGTAACTTGAACACCTTTAACAGGCCTGTCATTACAGTTTTAGCTAATATGGGTTTTAAAACTGCTGCTTTTTAAAAATAATGAACACACTGAATCACACTTACTGGCCATTTTATTAGGCACATGTGTTCAATCAGTGTCACCGGGCAGTTACTAGACAGATTCTCTATAGGGAGATGACAAACACTCTCAATTCAAAATACCATCCCCCAAGTAGAGACCGTTTAACAAATCATTTGGTCCCTGTTTGGTATGAGGTTGAAAAGCGCAATCTGATCTCAGATCTGAAACATGTCACAAAGGCAGTCATCACAGCTGATGGATGGACAAGTTCTACTCAAGACCATTACCTCACTGTAATGTTGGTACTATGTCAGATGAGGCCAGAATAAGGAAAAAGTCCTCAAAATAAGGCAGTCTATGAATCACAGATGGGGACATCTGTGGCAGAGAAATCCTGGAGGAGTTTGGAGTAAAAGAGAAGGTTGTGGCATGCATGGATGTAGCTGTGAAAAAGGTGAAATTTATCAAGCTGCCACGTTTTGCACACACACTAAATCTTGGACGCCGAAAGCTGTACAGCTGCAATACAGTTTCCAACTGGACAGGAAGGATTCATTCTGTGATTGTATGGATGAAGAAATCCCACATGGCAAGAGTAATCCTCAAGGAGAAACAGTAACTTCTTTGTATGAATACTTTTTAAATACTTGAATAAAAGTCAGCCAAAATGTAAATCAACAGATTAGGATCAATATAAAATGATAACATCATGTTTGTGATGATGGAGAGATTCTGTCAGCAGTTTTCAGCCATCCAAACTGCAGCTGTAGACCTCTGCCTAAGAAAGCCCATCAAGAAGGAGAAGTATATAATCTTTGGGGTATATAAAAATTGGTTGCTTAAACATATTAACATATTAAAATGTGTTTATTATTTTTTGTTTATATTGCAGACTTGGCAGAATTGGCAATGAGGACATGCAGAGGAGTTTCTGGTGCTGATGTTGAAGCATTACATGTCCACGCTTGCTGTGTTTAGTGAAAAAAGTCTGACCTGTGGCCAGAGACTGCCCATCCTTCTGCAGCAGAGAGTGAATCAAGAAGTCCAACTGCATAGAAGTCTTTTTCCCATTCCAATCAAGGACAGTGCCACAGTCTGGTGGTGCTATATTTTATTCCCTAACCAGCCAGTTAGAGAATCAATGAGGAATCGAATCGTTAAATGATATTGATAATTGGTATCGCTAAATTCTTATCAGTTCCCATCCTTAGTCTTTAGCATTTAATATTCTTTTGAAAATTATTTATTTTCATATTTCTTAAATAGACATTGCACTGTGTTATTAGTGGATGCCAAGAAAATACTGTTAAACTGAAGAAACTTACTGTTATTAGCAGTAATCAATTCAATTGAAGTAATCAGGTGCCTTAATTTAAAAAAAATAAATTGTGACATATTTTTACGTTTTCAATGTCCAGATCTTTGACTTTTGTTTAATTAAAAAGAATTTTTAAAAATTAACAATAAATATTTAGTTTTGCTAAACTGAAGAAGTGACTCTGTTGTACTTTTAAGTTATGTCAGCTTCCCATGGGAGACATGATTGAAAGCAATGAGTACCAATTACTAAATATTTTTTAATTCATTTATTAAACATGTTAGTTTTATTGTAGCTGAAGGGTACATGTCAAAGGTAAGTGCCTCTGTTCACATAAAAATATTCACACTATTAAAAATTTGTTTTGTGTGTTTCTGTTTGCTAGCTGTACGTATGGGCCATGACTGGCCATGACCTCAGCAGGACCCGGCCTTCCCTTGCGCCGATGCCGGCATCACCTTCAGAAGAGGCGACATCGTGGAAATTGTGAACCAGACGGATGCCCTCTGATGGCAGGCAAAGAAACTGCCCACACGGCATGTGCCAGCCTCATCCCCTCTATCAACCTACTCATGCTCGTCCAATCTCGTACTGCATATAATAGGTGAGCCACAGGTTTTGGACCTCTATTATGAAAGTGAATCCCACACAACCAGTGAAGCCAGTTTAAGGGGAAGAGTATAGACTATAACTACTCTAACTCTGCTTTGGTTTATGGAACTGTTTCTCAAACACAGTATTTTGCAGTATACAGACTTCCGAGGATGATGTCATTGCTCAGTTTTTGGGCTTTTCCTCTGAGATGTTCTGACTTTGACACTTGAGATCTTCTGGTTTTGGAACTCTGACTTCTTTTGCTTGTTTTTCTAGAATTGAATCCTTTAGCATCTCTTCTTAAGCCTGACAATATTGCTTGTATGTAAAACAGATCCGCAGCAGTGACAGTTAATTTCCATCTATTTTGTATTATTTGAACTATTTTATAGGTTTTATTGTGTTATTACCACTGTATAAAGCAGGAATGGGCAATTAAGTTTCCCTAGGGGCCACATGAGAAACTGGAACTGTTGTGGAGGGTACATAGATTCAGAATTAAGAGTCACCTTTATTGTCATTGCACAGTATTGTAAAAACTACAGCAAAATGAAATTTTCTTGTGTGATCAGTACCAGCATTCACACACAAACCTATTTACACAAAAGCTTAAATACTTACATTAAATTAAGTTGATCTTGCCAAGAAGGATAGGTGGAGTCTGTTGAGTTCTGTGATGGTCCTGAGAAAAAACTGTTGAGCAACCTGGTGGTATGGACTTTGAGGACTTTCTAACGCCTGCTGAATGGAAGTACGAAGAAAAGGTTGTACGACGGGTGTGTTTTGTCCTGCAGAATATTGTTTGTTCGTAAGGGGCAGCAGGTCCTAAAAAGATCATCTAGGGAGGTCAGAGGCAGTCCAATAATTTTTTAAATCTGTTCTTATTACTTGTTTGAGGGATTTCTTGATCAATAAGCCTATAAAGAGATATAATGAATATTTCTCATGTGGCACCTTCAGAAAATTAATTGCCCACCTCTGGTATAAAGTGTTTTGCACTTAGTTACTGCAACATTTTTATGTTACGGTTAGAATTTTGTGTAATTAACATCAAATTTCTGTTAGGTTGTTGGTGTTGTAATGGCGTGGGGTGTATTTTATTGACCCCTTAGTAGCAACTGAGTCTCATTTAAACAACACAGCCTACCCGAGTGTTGTTGCTGACCATGTCCATCCCTTCATGACCACAGTGTACCATCTTCTGATAGCTGCTTCCAGTAGGATCCCACACCATGTCAAAAAACTAAGATCATTTCACACTGGTTTCTTGAACATGACAATGAGTTCTACTCAAACAGCCCCCACAGTCATCAGATCTCAATCCAATAGAGTACCTTTGGGATGTGGTGGAACAGGAGATTCTCATCATGTATGTGCAGCTGACAAATCTCTGAGGAATGTTTCCAACACCTTGTTGAAGCTTTGCAAAGAACTGATATTGCTCTTTAGGTAAAAAAAGGGTCCGACTGGTATTAGCAAAGGGTACCTAATAAAATGACTGTATTGATATAGTTCGGTGTATTGTGGTGACCTTTCCTGAAGTAGGATGACACTCGGAAAGTTCATCCTCCACCAAGGTCAATGCCCAACTTTGCAATTTTAAATAAAGTCGTCTTGAACTGTGCCAGAAATGTTTTTTCTCCTCTCTTACCCTTCTCCACTGGGTTTCAACAAAGTACTTTATCTCATTATCTCTTTCATAGAGATACTAACCTCAAGTGAAGAATGTGTGTGAGCTTTGAGATCCTAATATAGATTTATAAACTGAAAGTCAAAGTGTTGTTTATTGTTTGCGTCTTTCATGGTTCTTTGCCAATCAGGGTGCGGCAAAGCCACATATCAGCTTTATACACACACTCTGACCCATAAAAGCATGTCACACCCAGCATGTGTGACATGACCAACAACCACTTGAGCTCCTATTTTGAGTAAATGTTTTCTGGCGTGAATAAAAAAGCCAAGCCTTTTTCTAAAGTTGTTTTTCCCCCACTAACTGGAAGGTCATTATTTATTGACATCACATATTTCTCATGTTAATAACTACAATCCATACTGCTTTATAAAAGTATAGCAATTATTCACTTCAGCTGACAAATATTAGACTGATGTTTCCAGTCGGATGCCTTACTTACTTAAACAAAAAAAAAAAGATATTGAAGTAGAAAATGTTTCTTTGATTTGCTGAGAAAATTCTTCACATTAATAAACGGGACGCCCAACATCATACCAACCTATCTAAATCACCAGCTATTGTACACAAAAACTGTACCCAGCAGTTAAAACTTAGAAAAACACATTTTAAAGAATTTGTAACTTCTCGAGCCAATTTCTCCTGAAACTGCTGCACATCAAAGATCCAATAGATGCAATAAAATGTCAAAATGGTTTTAGTAGAAGTTCTCTGAGTGTAAAAGTCTCATTCTGCGGCATCCTGACTTAGACGTTATTGTTTTTGTGGCTTTGTTGGGGGGGTCAGTCGTCTTTGTCTCTCTGTCGGAGGCTCCTCGATTTGCCATTTTGTGTCTTGTTCCTTCGGAACGATGCCGGACCGCCTTCTTCTCCGAGGGAAGTGATGATGCGTTCTTTGAACTTCGGCTTGGGCTCCGGGGGCAGCTCTGCTGGAGCGCTGGCAGTGCTTCCCTCCACTTCAGGCAGCTGCAAATCCACATTTTCACTGAAATGAGAATAAAAGAGACAAAGAAAAAGCTCTTTAGTAGCTGCCGGCACACATATGTAGGATCTCGCTGTGTAACAACTCAAAGATGTTGCACTTACTACGGATCCTCTTCTTGCAGGATCTGCTCCCAGACTCCGTATGGATTGGCAGCTTTTGGCCTCTTGGCTTTCGTTTCCCTTTGTTTCGCCTGTTCTTCTGTTTTCTCCGGTTCAGCTGTTGTGTTTTGGACCTCCTCAACTTTTGTCGCCTCTTTATCGTCATCTTTAGGAGTGTCGTCACTCACTTTACCTTCATCCTCT